AAAAGCACAAATGATGCTGTCATACACATGCTAGAACTAATATATACCGCACTCTAAAAGAAAGAAGTCCCGCTGGGCATTTTCGTTGATTTGCATAAAGCTTTTGATACAGTCGACCATGAACTGCTGTACTTCAAATTAACACACTATAGTATCCGAGGCCACTCCCTCAACTACCTAAAGTCATACCTTAGTGTTATGTTGTTGTCTCTTATTACTTTGATAGTAAGGTTCTCACTACATGTTCTAGTGTGGGGTAGATTTTACATAAAAGCCTTATATATCTAGGGTAATACTTACGTCCATGATTGATCATCCTCACCCTCTGAAATCCTTTCACCAGCCCTCTTCACAGGTTATTAAAACTACCTCTATAAAAAATATAACTGTATTCTAAATAGATATGTACAGAATATACAATTACAGCACTCGCATGTTCAAAACATAAGCCTGTACACCCCTTAGCTGCTCTCCTGGGACAGCCCACATGGTGCATCTCAACAATTTGCCCTTCTCTCTTCTTGACTAATCTCTGGACTAACCAGTGCTTTGACACACTTTAGTCACCCTGGGTATGGTGGCCACAACTTAAGTTTTAAACTCGCCCCTGGGGCACACATAATGCCCCCCCAAAAAATAGAAAGAAGGGTCCAGAGGTCCTACCAGTTTGAAGTCAACAAAAAAGTGAGAGAGGGAGGAGCCTAGCTAAGCTCCTCCCACACCCACCAAAAAACAAAACACTGTTGCCAAGCACAATTCTCTAGTTACCACAATTTTACCACACCTTATTTACTTTTACAAAAAGAAATACAACTTTATAAACTACTTATTTAAATTGTGTATGTGTGTTTACCTGGAGAGAGTTCCGGGGGTCAACGCCCCCGCGGCCCGGTCTGTGACCAGGCCTCCTGGTGGATCAGAGCCTGATCACCCAGGCTGTTACTGCTGGCTGCATGCAAACCAACATACGAGCCACAGCCCGGCTGGTCAGGAACCGACTTTAGGTGCTTGTCCAGTGCCAGCTATAGTATAACCTATTATATTGAGAAAAAACAGGCTTGACACAGCTGCCTTACAGCCATAAGAGTGATATGCCCTTATGACATTTAGAGCTGAGTCCCCAGCAATTCAATATAATTAGGTATTCCAGAGTAACTGTTACAGATACATAAATACATGTTGGGTCTTATAGCCCCATAACACTTGGTAACGGAACTCAATGTGTGTATGAAAATGGTGCAGACTCTTCCACCCAACCAATCACAGTAGGAGTCCCACAAGGAAGTGTCCTTGGACCACTCCTCTTTCTCATCTACATCAATGATCTACCGAATGCATCACAGCTACTCAAACCCATATTATTTGCAGATGACACTACATACGTCTTCTCCCACCCAAACCCAGTCATACTAGCAAATACTGTCAGTGCCAAATTGCAGAAAATATCTGCCTGGATGATGACTAATAAACTTACCCTGAATACTGATAAAACATATTTCATTCAGTTTGGAAACAAAGCTGCAAATGATCCAATTAACATAACGCTAAACGGATCATCAGTCACAAGACTTGCAGAGGGAAAATTCCTAGGTATCCACCTTGACAGTAGCTCTAAGTTCCAGACACACATACAACAAATCACCAAGAAAATCTCTAAGACTGTAGGCATACTATCAAAGATAAGGTACTACATTCAACAATCAGCTCTCCTGGCACTGTGCCATTCACTCATATACCCTTATCTCACCTATGGAATTTGTGCATGGGGATCAACATTCAATCACCTAAGACCTCTAATAACCCAGCAAAAGGCAGCAGTCAGAATGATAAATTCCCACTCCCAACAGCATACTCCACCAATTTTCAAAAGTCTGAATCTGCTCACCATTAAGAACATCCATACTTATTCATGTGCCTACTACACACACAGAACAATACACGCAAATATAAACCCTCCACTCAAACTTCTCCTCACCAACCTTAGCAAGACACATGACCATAACACAAGACACAGATCTCTTTTTGATGTACCTCGTGTCCATATCACACTGTGTAAAAGCTCTATGCACATAAAGGGCCCCAAAATATGGAGCTCATTACCAGAAGATACTGAAGTAACCCGGTCTGAAAATCAATTTAAGACTCTTCTCAAAAGCCACTTAATCACCCTAAACTAAATGCTAAATACTCAGTACACACATACTCAGTTATGTACTCCCACATCATAATTTCAACAATCACTTTGAACCTTTTATCCATTGTTGACAGGAATGTAATTGAATCATTGTTTTCACAAAAAGCATTTTTGAATATATGAATATATCTTTTGTCTTATATAAATTAGATTCACTTATAATTAATATTCTACTGTACAACTATAACACTAAGAATTATGTTAAGTAGTCTGTAAGCCAATAATGTTAAGTCGGCCCATAATGCCAAGGCATAATAGAGGCTCTTTTTGCATTGCAACCCATTATTGTCAATACAAAATCTCGATGTACTATTTGCAAAGACATAAATAAATAAATAAAACAAATAAATTGAATTGTTGTGTGCCAATGGCCTCGTAATTCTTATACTATTGATCTAAGTGGTTAAAAAAGTTGTCTCTGTGCTTGGTTGAGAATAAGTTTCCTCCTTCTGTATTTAGCTCCTTGACACAAAAATCTCCATGAAATTCCCCATGTCCAGCTAAATCTATACAAAAATTCAATGTACATAAAAGGGCCTATCTGGAACTTCCTGCCTGAATATTCTGGAACTGAAGACTCGACCACCATTTTCAGAATTACCGTTAGAAAACATCTCTTCTCCCTAACACATCCCATCATCAACTAACTACATGAAAACCACCTGTAATATTAAATAACAAAAAGGCACAATACCGTGACTGGAACGATACACAAATAACCCGCACATAAAAGAGAGAAGCTTACGACGACGTTTCGGTCCGACTTGGACCATTGACAAAGTCACACTAACAGAGGTACCTGTAATATTACTTGTATCATGCACACATCCAAAAGAAAATAGACTTATTCTCGATATCTGTGATTCTCCCAAATTTACATTTACACTCAGCGAAATGACTGTAAACAAAAAATTCCAAATATAGGTACTGCCTAATAAATCTTAAGCTAGTCGTAAGTTTACCTCAGATATTCCAGTATAGGAACTTTAATAGAAACTGTGTATCATGCCAATACAAAACCATTCTCATTACTAAATTTACAAATTGTAATATTCCTAAATGTTTTGAAATACTTCACTATTGTAAATCTATTTAATCACAACAGTTACTTAACTTTAATATCAGTATGATCCATAACCTGTGTCAGTATAAAGTAAGAATTAGTATTAATCTGCCTGATATACCTAGGCCTGCTAGTGGCCTTCTTTGTAATTATTATTTTATAATATGTAAACCACAAATTGTAATTAATGTTCTATAATATGTAAACCCCACATTGTAATCTTTACAGAGAAATAAACATTTCAATTTCAGCTTCAATTTCAAGATAATAAGACAAAGATCACGACAGCCAGGAGCTTGACGAGGGTGAGTATTAAGAACTTTCAAAATAAGGGAAATAATGCCAGTGGTGACACTCTTCAAATCGCTAGTGTATTTAATACTCTCGCTGCTCCCAACACCGTACACTCTCTCATTTGGAATATTGCTCAGTGTTGATGGCCCCATTCAAAGCAGGAGAAATATCAGAGCAGGAACAAATATGTACAGAGATTGTTTACGGCACACGTTGAGCCAGTAAAGCACTTAAACTACTGGGAATGCATTAAAGTCTTGAGCATGTGCTCACTTGGGAGGAGGAGAGATACTTGATAATATATACATGGAAAGTACTCGAGGGCCTGGTCCCAAATCTGCACGCTGCCATAACAGCATACTGGAGTGAGAGATATGGGAGGAAGTACAAAATAAACCCAGTGATGAGCAGGGGTGCTGTGGGCACAATAAGGGAACACTGTATTAACATTCGTGGCCCAAGACTATTTAACATCTTACCGGAAGATATCAGAAACACGGCTGGAACAAGTGTAGAAGCCTTCAAGAGGAAACTGAACACGTATCTTTACCAGGTGCCAGATCAACCAGGCTGTGATGGATATGTGGGGCAGTGGACCTCCAGCAGCAAGAGCCTGGTTGAGCAGGCAAGCACCAGACAAGCCTGGCCCATGACCGGGCTCCGAGAGTAGTGAGATTCTCGAAACTCATCAAAGGTATATACAACTATGTTGCAGCTGTTCTGGCCATAAAATCATCCTATTAGAACCCTTGTGGCTGAATGGTTGTAGCACTGGGCCTTCTGGTTGCAGCAGTTAGTCCCCATCCATTATTCATGTCCCAGGATCCAGCAGGCTTGTAAGTTGTTAGGTAGGAGTGAATGGCAATAAGTGGTTTTTAACCCTTAAATGGTCCAAACGTATATATACGTTTTTCAACATCTGAAAGTATGTAAAAAAATGTAGATCTTCTTTTTTGTTTTACATTTGAAAACGTGTAAAAAAAAACTTTTATCTACATTTTTTTTGTTACATTTGAAAATATGTTAAAAAAAATAATGTACTTTTGTAGCACTACGAATTTGAACGTTGATTTGTTTGGAACGTTTAAGGGTTAATGGACGAGCTGTTGGAGTGTGAGCAAAGTAACTTTCATGAAGGAATTCGGGGGAACTAATTAACCTGACTAGGGTCCAGAGGTAGGAAAAGCAGTGCTTGCATCCTGAAGGAGGGGTGGAGATGTTACAGTTGAAGGGTGCAGGTAATCTCATTATGATGTCAGCACACTTTAAGAAAGATGGCAGTTGAATGAATGATGGTGATTTTTTTTTTTTTTTTTTAGGGCCATGCTGCCTTGGTGAGAGATGGCTGTTAAATTTAAATAAATAAATAAATAAATAAATAATTAGGCATGTAAGTATATACTGTGTTGTATACTGTGTACAGTATTTTAATAAGTTTTTTGTATTTAGCGTGGTGGTGGGCGGGTGGCAAGCACAGCACCTGGAGAGAGTGAGGGAGGTGTGGCTGTCACTGAGGAAGCCTTCAAGGACCCACCACTTACACTGAAGGATCCCCTGAAGGACCCCATGCGAGAATCAACTAGTACTGACCCCATCAAGGACTTTGAGGCTACTCCTTCACCATATGATGAACCAGAGGTGAGAAAACTCTAATAGGAAATGTAGGCAGGAATGGAGGTGTAACACCTAAGTAGGGATTCAAAGGATAATGAAGTGGAAGAAGGTTGTATTTAAGATAAAGAAGAGAGAGAGAGTAAAATGATGAAGCATATATCATCAGAAGGCAAATGTTGAACAATAGATTCACTATAAGAAGCAAAACTGACAGGGCTAGGAAAAGCATTATGATGCAAGAAGGGGATTGAAGGGAGGGGAGGCAAGAGGAAGAAGGAATTTGATCAGAAAAGAAAAGGAGTAAGAAAAAATTTAAAAATTCTGGAAAATAAAATGAAGGTATCTGAATTAGGTGAAGAATATTACTGAAAATATACAGTAACCTTCCATTTAATTTCAGAAATGTGAAACAAAATCTTGTGGATCAGTAGATTTGGAGACAGTGGACAAAGTCCATTAGTCACAGAATTGCCCATTATTGTTAGTCACAGCATAACAATCTCTTCTTTATCCACCACAGATGCCATTATAGGCAGGGTTTACTGAATGCACATACAGTGCACTTAACACATGCATTTGCTACATGGCAAAAGAGTGCAGAAGCCAAGGTAAAAAAAAAGAAGTGAAGGGTGGTAAAGAGGAAAGTCAAAGTTTGTGTAATAAGTCACTGTCAGCTAGGAAACATTAATCTTTATTTATGGGACTTTCCAAGAAGAGGGGAACCATGGTGAGGGCAGTACAACATTGATATGAAAAATAAGATTGTGTGGAGAGAAGTAAGGTTATGGCAAGTATACATAAGCAACACATGATGAGAAATGGTCAGAAAACAAAAGCACTGATTATACAAAATACTAAATTAATTTTATTCATTTTACATATTGTTAAATACTGGCTTGTATTATTTTACACAATTTAAATTACTATTCAGTGGCATGTTACTTATTACTTCATATTGAAATTTTATTTTACTTACAATAAGTGCTGCTGCAGCTGCTGGATTATGGTAGGTAATGGCAATCATATTGCTCTTTTTACAGGAAAATTTGCAGAGTATAAACTGTTAACAAATGTAAAGAATTCTGAAATATAAAGTTAAAATACTCGGTTATAGAATTCTGTGCACCACCCAGGTTTTTGTGCATAAAGTAACACAGAACAATACCAAAATAGACATAATGCTTAAACACACACAGTATACTGTATTTGATGAGTGCTGAACATTTTCTCCAGTCATGGCTCGCTAGAGTTAAGTCTTTACATTAAGTGGTAAATGCTGGTATAAACTGACAAATGGAGAGAAAGTGTTCAAGGGACGCCTTTATTACTTCTGCAACATTTTGCCGTGGACTGGACTTTTATCAAGTACACAACACTGACCCTTTTGCATTTAGTGCTTAAATTGATTTTAATAATAGTAAAATATACATAAAATGTTGGGAGCAGTGCAAAACTTGTTTCAGAAGGACAACAAAACAGTGATTAACACAGACATGTATGAAAGTCATATATGTAGTACAGTAACTAGTATACATTTACTTAATTACATATACCCTAATTATTGCAATGGAAATAAGTCACTCTGACTTTTTGGGTTATCCCAGGTTGTCTACACATATGCTGCTATGTATGATAATCTATGTAACTGTATTTGTGTATACCTGAATAAACTTTACACATGTATTTCTTACTTACACAAGGGCAGAACCAAGAAGGGTCCAAGAGGCAGCCACCATTCATTTTACAGCTACCGTTGAGCAGACCAATGGAATGTTCATACTGGCTGGACCCATAGCTCACATTATCCACAATTCTTATATGAAGAATGTTAATTCATCCATGGCACCCTAACCATACCTCCCTGATCTTACTTCACTCTCAGCTCTTTCCCTTCCTTCACCCCACCTTCAACCTTTCCTGTGACCTCTCTCAAGCTGGGCTTCATAGTGCTAATTTGCCTTATAAGGTGGTGTATGCATGTTTTTTTTTTTTTCATAATGATTAAGGTTTCATCCGGGGCTGGATCTATCTATAGCAGTAATGAAGGTTTCTCTGTACCATAGTACAGAGAAAATTGACTTTTTTCTTTCACCAGTAACTTTTAGGGTAGAAATTCTATACATTTAAAAGTAAATGAAGCCAAAAAGACATAAGCAATTGAAGCTTATGTTATATTTAAGGGAATGGGGCTAAATATGTAAGGGTTATACACATCCTGGGGAATGGGACAGTCAGGTTCGATCCAGCAATAGGGAGGTCAGGCGAAATTCCTTAGTACTATTAAGATCCCTTGCCAGTGCAAAAGAACCTCCTATGAGAGGGTTACTTATATGTCCCATCTTCTGTGTTCAGCCTTACCCATTATTATTATTATTATTATTATTATTTTTTATCACACTAAGTGCTAAACCCACAAGGGTCATACAACACTGTCAGTCATATTCAATTTTTGTTTATACTGATTGTGGCACACATTCAATTCAAAGTTTATTCTCTATAAGGATTACAATGCTGAGTTTACAGAATTTGGTTATTGTGTGGTTTGCATGTAGTAAAATAATAATTACAGAGTGTACCACTAGAACACTAGGCATTTCGGGCAGACTTAAATTAAATCTTAAGTTTAAAATATTACAAAAAATTTTGAGGTAAGTTGGTATTATGGCTAAGTGACTAAATACTAGTTTGTGAGTTTAGCAATGTGAATGCTTTTGTTTTGGCACTATACATAGTTTCAGTATTGGAGTATCACAGGCCAACTTATGATTAGTTAAGATTCATTATTTTGAGATTGAGATTGATATTTCTGTTTATGGTCAAATGGGTGAGTGAGTGTAAGTGTTAACCACCAGGTGGTATTCGTGTAATTAGTTGACAGGGTGTATCAGGGAGATAAGATGTTTCTGATGGTAGTTTTGAAGGTGATGAATGTGTCTGCAGTTTTAGAATTTTCAGGTAGGGTGTTCCAGATTTTAGGGCCTTTGACATACATTGAGTTTTTGTAAAGGTTTAGTCGGACACGGGGAATGTCATAGAGATGTTTGTGTCTGGTGTTGTGCCTGTGGGTTCTGTCACAACTATCAAGAAAGCATTTTAGGTCAAGGTTAATATTGGAATTTAAGGTCCCTTGTAGATGTAGACTGCACAGTAGTAAGTGTGGATGTACTGAACAGGGAGTAAGTTTAGATCTATGAAGAGTGGGGGGTGTGTTGCCAGGGATGGGATTTAGTGATTATTCTTACTGCGGCTTTTTGTTGGATTATTATGGCTTTAGGTGTGTTGCTGCAGTTGAACCCCAAGCACAGATAGCATAGGTGAGGCAGGGATATATAAGTGAATGGTATAGTGTGAGAAGGGCAGTTTGCGGCAAGTAGTATCGTATCTTGGAGAGGATCCCAACCGTTTTGGATACTTTTTTGGTTATGTGTTGGATATGGGTGCTGAAGTTCAGGTTGTTGTCGAGGTATAGGCCTAGGAATTTGCCTCATTATGCCTGGCAATTAGAGTGTTGTCGATCTTAATGTTAATTTGCGCATCTCCTGCTCTGCTACCAAACATAATATAGTAGGTTTTGTCAGTGTTAAGCGTAAGTTTATTGGCTGTCATCCAATATTTTGATCAGCTCCTCATTAACAATGGTGTTGAGGTTGGCAAGATTAGGGTGAGAGATGACATAAGTCGTGTCGTCAGCAAAGAGAATGGGGTTCAGGTGTTGAGATACGTTTGGAAGATCATTGATGTATATGAGGAAGAGCAGGGGACCAAGGACACTTCCCTGCGGAACTCCAGTATCAAGTGGCTGTGTTGTTGATGCTGTGTCTTTAACCCTTTGACTGTTTCAGGCCCCTCTCTGAAACTGTCATTCTATGTCATTCAATTTTTGAAAAAAAAAAATTATTTTTCATATGAAATGATAGAGAATCTTTTCCCGATGGTAATGACACCAAAAGTTCGAAATTTGGTCGAAAACTCGTGGAATTATGCTCCCGCGAATTTAGCGGTCTCGGCGACATAAGCGTATCGGCGATTTCGCCGACTTTGAGCCCTATTTTCAGCAAATTCCATTCGTCCAGTTGACCAAACTCATAGCTATTTCTTTAGAACTCCATTTTATCTATCAGCTGAGTACAAGAAACCTCCCATTTACTAATTTGGACTACCCAATATGATGGTCAGAAATTGGCAATTTGGCCAATTTCACGCAAACTAAAAAAGATGCCAATTTCAAAATAGGGTCCAGAATAAACAAAGTAGACATTCGTGGCACTAAAATAACATATGCTCTGTTCATTAACCCTTTGACTGTCGAAGGGCCAAATCCTGAAGTTGCTTCTGGTGTCGCAAAATATTCGAAAAAAAAAAATTATTTTTTCTTATGAAATGATAGAGAATCTTTTCCCGATTGTAAAGACACCAAAAAAACGAAATTTGATGGAAAACTGACGGAATTACGCTCTCGCGAAGTTAGCGATTTCGGCGATATTTAAAAAATCGGCAATTTCGCCCACTTTGAGCCCTATTTTCGGCTAATTCCGTTATTCCAGTCAACCAAAACTCATAACTATTTCTTCAGAACTCTATTTTTTCTATCGATTGAGTACAAGAAACTGCCCATTTACCGATTTCAACTACCAATAACATGGTCAGAAATTTGCAATTTGGCCAATTTCACGAAAATTAAAAAATACGACAATTTCAAAATAAGGTCCAGAATGAACAATGCAGACATTCCTGGCTCTAAAATAACATTTTCTTTGTTCATCAGTCATGTCTCCGGGCCCCTGTGATATTACTCTTGCTTTTTATTTTGAAATTTTATTCAAACAAAAAATAGAAGATTTACTGTTATGCAGACTACTGCAATACTGTAATAATTGTAAAAATTACATCAACCCATTCATGACTGCGTATTAGAATGGCTATTTGGACATTTATTGGACAATGACATCATTTGTTCACTTTTGAACATCGGCAAAAATCAAACATTTCCTGTACTTTGTGCTCCATTTCCAGGTTCTTTTTAT